CACATACACAGTAGTGGTAACTGGGGTAGGCCGTGGACGTCACAAGACATTATACAGACAGACTGGTATCGTGGCTACCCAGCTACGGAGCACAAAAGTGTGGGATCATTTTAAGAAAATGAAAGAGAAACCTGTGTAATATCTGCAGAGCAGAACTTACCTTCCACAGACATTATTTTTAGTTAGCATATAGCTAAAATCTAACCATGGTTATATAATAGCAGCTGCATTCTGGCATGATAAGCTCTATGTTTTATATTCAATTAACATATGATCTGATTAGTCAACTAATAGAATAAATAATCTGTGCTTAATTGATTATAAAAATAATCGTTTGTGGCAGCTCTACTACCAACATCTCTGTTGATGTTCAGACATTTACAAGAAAAAAACTAAGAAATTCTGTGAGTTACTGATGGCCTGCAGAAGCTGCACTTCTCTCATGTTTTCTTTCTGCTCAGCTTGTTTAAAGTGACTTTGCCCTGATCTCTGTCTGTCAGGCTACAGGCTGTCCACAAGTTTATATTCTTACAATTACAAATATCAATATACTTAAAGATAATCTTTCAGAACAAACTGTTTAGTGTGCCCAGTTAATCATTTTATATATATAAAGATTTGTGCCTGCTTTTTCATGGAAACCGTGTCCATCAACACTCATTCACCTTTCCAGTGTTCTTCAGCGTTTTAGCTTCAGGTTCACATTTTTCAGACAAAATGATTTGTTTGTGTCACACAGAAAGCAACGAATCCATCATAAAGGTTAAATGAAGGGTCTTACCTATTTCCTCCAGCCCACGCTGAAGGCTCCCTGGTTGAACCTGTTCTGAATAAATCTGTATCTCTGCAGGTGTGGGGACAGGTATGGGGCACACCTGAAAAGGCAAAAACAGAGAACTGAAGCCCAAACATGAAAGGATGAACAGGGATTCTGTCCAGTTTAACAGCCCCTCTGTTAACACAAAGAGAAATGAAAGCTCATTTTTCTGCAAAGACCTAATAATGGTTAAATCCTGGTAGAACAGARGTTTTCAACAATGCGGTCACGACCCCTAGTGGGGTTGTGCAGGTACTGCAGCTGGGTCATGAAATCTTTTGGGTAGACTTTTTAAAACACTTTTTTCTAAAATTATGTCTCTAAACACTCATCATGAATCAAACATGCAGTAAACTGATAAAATGGAGACCTAAATTAATGTATTTCAGTCAGAAAGTCACACATTGAGTGAGCACACCAGCTGAATACTGGGCAGGTCATGTCATCACTGGAGTCCTTACCATCTGCACACTGGAGACAAACTGAGCAACACATCTTTTATTGAACATAGTAACAGTGGCGGCACCATAAAATTACGAGTGGGGGGCAAAGGGGGTTCTTAAATGTTTGTAAGGTTGTCCAATAAAATTTGACACAACAAATAATACTATTATAGAGTATTTTCCWATCCCAGGCTATAACCAAATATCGTGAAACAAGTGTTACAAAATGTTTATCATCAACACAWCATATTAACTGCTTTTAATGAGTCAACAAATACCAAACARGAAGCTCAAACAAACCACAGAAAAYAACTTTACAAGAGTGTACCTGAGTGAAAACTGCTGCAGCACAGGGTGCAGTTTGATGGGGAGTTACAAAACCTTCCTCAATAATCTGTTAGTCCCTCCTGTATGTCTTGTCCAAACACCGTTCCTTTTCTCATCCCTGTCTATCTGCAGGGGTGGGCTGGCTTTAAAGAGGCCTTTTATCTAACTGCACGACGGATGCAAACAGAAACATAATTTTAACACAGATTCATTATTTGCAGGATTAAAACTCTGTTTTTTCAACAATCAACTACAACAAACAGCTTATCTTAAATATCAAAGCAAATACTGAGAAACAAAAACCAACCTCAAAAGATCGACCTATAACACCCTAACACATCCATCCACCCATTTTCCTCTGTATCTTGTGCTGCTTTATCAGCATTAAAAGAAAACCAGTGAAGATTATAAAGAGCTCATTGATGGGAAATTAAATCAGGTGTCTAACTCAGAAAGCCACTAGCAGAACTTGCAGAGGTGGAGATAGGCTTAATGTTTCTGTTTGACTCTTAAGACCCCAGCATTTTAGTCCAAAACTAGTCTTTGTCACACCAACAAACATTTACATTCCCTTTCTCCTGAAAGAGCTGGTGAAATACTTCGTCTGTGGTTAAAGCTGTAGATTTGACCTGTTTTTATACCTTCTGCACATTTGTGGACATGAACAAATGTATTAAAATCAGTTTAGACCATCATGGTAGTGAGTGTGAAAACTTACTGGATAAAACTCATTTATAGATCAGTCATAAGAAAGAAAAACATGTCTGAAGATAAACTGTGAATTTTTCAGCCTGCAGATGTCAAAAACACTAGATTTGAACTACAATCCTCAGATCTCAAAAAGTTAATATAATTTAATCAGTCCCTTGTCTTCCTACATTTTGGTTGGCAAACCTAAAATAGAAAGAAGAGCCTAAAATGTTTTTCCAAGTGTCATGAYCAAATGTTGCTCATGTTGAATGCCACATGGAGTTTGAGTTGAAGTAATGAAGTAATGATGTGCTACTAGCTGAATTTCAGTTCTTAATGTTGACAATGTCTGTTTTCTTTATGTTTATCAGTCTTACTTCACTTAAAATAAGACTGACACTTAAGATTTACTCCTACACTTCACTTAAAGTATTACTGACACTTAAGATTTACTCCTACACTTCACTTAAAGTATTACGACACTTAAGATTTACTCCTACACTTCACTTAAAGTATTACTGACACTTAAGAATTACTCCTACACTTCACTTAAAGTAAGGCTGACACAAGATTTACTCCTACACTTCACTTAAAGTATTACTGACACTTAAGATTTACTCCTACACTTCACTTAAAGTAAGGCTGACACAAGATTTACTCCTACACTTCACTTAAAGTAAGACTGACACTTAAGAATTACTCCTACACTTCACTTAAAGTAAGACTGACACTTAAGAATTACTCCTACACTTCACTTAAAGTAAGACTGACACTTAAGAATTACTCCTACACTTCACTTAAAGCAAGACTGACACTTAAGAATTACTCCTACACTTCACTTAAAGTAAGACTGACACTTAAGAATTACTCTTACACTTCAGGAGATTGTCAGGAGAAATGTCTTTACCAAAGCTGATGACTTCTGTCTTACTTTCATTTAGATTCAGGAATTTTAATTTCAGCCAGATTTTTATGTCATTCAGACAGCTCAGGAGGGATTTGAATGAATTAATCAAACCTGGCTTTATAGGCAGGTAGACCTGAATGTCATCAGCAAAACAGTGGAAAGGWATCTTATATTTATTAAAAATGGACCCCAGAGGCAACATATGAAGATTAAAAAGCAAAGGGCCTAGAACAGAGCCTTGGGGGACCCCACACATCAGAGGAGCTGTAGAGGAGGAGCGATCTCCTGAATGAACAGAAAAACTCCTATTTGTTAAGTAGGCTCTAAACCAGGACAAATAATGTTAGCCGTTTAAGCTTCAGTTATGGAAATTATATTTTTTAGGTTCTTTGAAAATGTTGCCATGATGTTCTGACTAATTCCAATTATTTTCAGTGGAACCACCACTGACCAGAACAGTGAAGACAGCTGGGAAGATTGCACGTCACAAAAATTACATTCAAATTTCAAACTGAAAATTTTATATCAGAACATTTTGAGAAACAAGATTTGAAAATTTGTGCATGCTATAAGGTGAACTAAAAAAAAGTAGTATTGCAAGAAAATAAAATGTTTACAAAGCCCACCAGTGTTACCCGTTGTAATGTTATTTATTAATGTCACTCAAATATTTGTTTATCCATCCATTTTCTATACCCGCTTCTTCATTTCAGGGCTGCGGGGGTCACTGGTGCCCGTATCCAGCAGTCCCAGTGCCAGCAGGGACAATTTAGAGTTATCAGTTAACCTAACAGTCATGTTTTTGGTCTGTGGGAGGAAACTGGAGTACCCAGAGAAAACCCACGCATGCATGGAGAGAACATGCAAACTCTACCCAGAAACGTCCCTGGGCCGGGATTTGAACCGGCGACCTTCTTGCTGAGAGACGTCAAAAATAAAATAAAAATAAAATGTATAATAAATAAAATAAAATAAATAGTTAATATAGTTTTTCATCTTGATTAGTTAATATTTTACCCTAAAACGTTATTTTACTCAGATATAAATATACTTTATATATAATTAATAAAAAGAAACAATTTAGTCAATAATTACAAATAAAAAWGGAACATTTTTTATTTCATCTTGGTTGGTTGGTTCATATTCTTGGTTCCTCCATTTTTTCCTGAAACGCTGCTTTCTTGCTTTCCAACTCCGCGCTCCACGTTCCCTACAAGTCGTAACCACGCCCATTGGACGGCCGACCCCGCCTACTATCCGACCCCTCCCCCTTCGCGTTCTGATTGGTTGAACGTGTCCCGTGCGTGTTGCGGTAAACAAGTGGCGAGCTGCCTGCGCATGTGCAGAGCAGGTAATCGTGGACTGTTGTTCTTGTCAGGGGTTTCGGCTAGCAATGAATATTTTCTGTGTTTTTCTACCAGCTTCCGTTTTGATGAGTTCCATGTTTTATGCAGCACAGAGGACAACTACCGATTCAACTGAGACGTAAGTGTTGTCTGCTTGTCGACGTCGTCGCTCGGCCGCAGAACACGAACTTGTGAAGTAGCTAGGCTAATCCATTGGTTAAGGCCGGGTGTAGTCCGTGTCCTGTCACAGACATCCTGGATGAGGTGTACACGGTTTTTATTTGTTGCTTGTTGAATAACAGACAAGTCGTTCAAACGGGAGAATGATCTACATGTAAAACGTGTTGCGTTTTAAACAAAACCCTGAACAAATGATGAGCAGGGCTCAAAGCTAACGTAGCCGCTAACTTTAAAGTTCTCATATAATCACGGGCGTTGTGTTGGTCCTGTTAATGTTTAAGTAAGGCAGTAAGGTTTATGCACTCTACTTCCACTTGCAAACGTTACTTAATGTTGTCATGTTTGCTTCGTGAATTTAAGGACTTGTCTACCGGGGCAATGCTATCACATTAGCTGGTGCTAATGTTGTGTGTTTCGCAGCGCCTGTTAGCTTCTTTAGCAGCTTAGCTGGCGGCTGGGCTGTAGGCTCGGCAGAGTTAAAGAGACGGTTTTAACCAATCAGGGGCGGATAAAGCTTTACGTAGCACCCATATAT